ATCCTAGTTTGACTCAGATGATGAATTCCCCTTCCTTCTGGGAGAATTTCGATTCTGCTGTTGCTGGTGGTATTCCTTCACCAACTGGTGGCAACCCGTCAAGTTCGCAATAGGTTCCCATGTGTTTTCTGAGGTATCATATCCTTCCCATTTAACCAGATAACATGGTCGTCCGTTGACTTGCTTGTAATCCAGAATTTGTTCAACTTCATATTCATCATCGTCGCTTTCGATTTCGATGTTTTCTGTTGGTATGGCGTTTTTCGGTGCTGGTTCCAATAGCGAGATGTGAAATACTGGATGTATGCGCTTCATTGATTTTGGTAGTTTCAAGCGATAATTCACTGGTCCTGTTTTTGCTTCAATGGCGAAAGGTCCGATTTTCTGGTGATCAAGCTTTTGACTTGGTCGTTTTGTCTTGATATTTCTGCGGAGCAGGAATACTTTCTCCCCCCTTTTTAAGGTAGGTCCCTCTCCATGGTGCTTGTCGTAATATATGGCTGCTCGTAAACTCATGAAGTCGATGTCTTTTGATAGTTGACTGTGTAAGTTCTTTAGCTTTTGAACTGTCTCATTTGCTGCTTCTGATGTAGATTCATGTGGACGCGGTTCCTTGTGCAAAGCTGGATGATATCCATAGTTGGCATAAAATGGCGTGACTTTGAGCGTTGAATGTTCAGCATTGTTGTATGCAAACTGTGCCATGGGTAGAAATTTAACCCAATCATCTTGTTCATAGTTGATGTAGTGCCGTAGATACTGCTCAATGGTTTGGTTGGTTCGCTCTGTTTGGCCATTTGTCTGTGGGTGATAGGCTGTGGTAAGGCGATGCTCTATTCCCATCAAGTTTGTAAGTGTCGTCCAAAATTTTGATGTAAACAGCTTGTCTCGGTCTGATGTGATCTTCTGAGGCATTCCATGGTTGGTAATGACATGCTTCAGGAATATTTGTGCCATTTCTGCTGCGTTCATGTTTCCTTTGGTTGGAACCAAATGAATATATTTGGTCAGTCTGTCTGTGACAACTGTGATGGAGTCATATCCTCGAGAATTCGGCAACTGGGTGATGAAATCAATGGTAACCCATTCCCATGGATGTGTTGGAGCATCCGGGGATTGCATTTTTCCATAGGGTTGATGTCTTGCTGCCTTGTCCTGAACACAGACTTCGCAGTTTTTCACATATTCTTGTACTATCTTCCTAAGGCTTGGGAAGTAGTAGTTCCTTGCAATTTGTTCAGTTGTTTTTTCTGTTCCTGTGTGTCCGTGCAGTGGGGTATCATGATGTATTCTGATGATCTCATTTCTCATGCTCTTCGGCACATAGATGAGATTGTGCAAATATGCCAATCCATTATCATCAGTGGTTAATTTGTCATTTTCTGCTGAGTTTTCAATCATATCCTGGATCATTTTGTCTTTTTGTGTTTCTTCCGCGATTTTCTTTTCTAGAAGTTCATTCGAGGCGTGCATTGTTGCTGCTAACACCTGGTGGTTGTAGCTGATAGTTCCATCTTCATTGGTTCTCAATATTGCTGGGTTGATCGTTTTATCCTTGATCTCGTAATCAGGTTGTTGGCTGAGTGCATCTGCTTGTCCATTCTCATTTCCTTTGCAGTGGACAATCTTGAAGTCGTATTGTGATAGTATTTCAGCCCATCTGGCCTGTCTTCGGGTCAACTCTTTAGTTGTTGTGAAGAAGGTCAGGTTCTTGTGATCTGTTTTCACAAGTACAGTGTGTCGTGCTCCTTCCAGGTAGACTCTCCAAGTCTTGAATGCTACCACTATAGCTAGCAATTCTTTGTCATGGATGTCATAGTTCAATTCAGCTTGAACCAGCTTTCGTGAGTGGAATGCAACAGCTCGTGGTTTTCCATCTGCTCCTGGTTGAGTCATCCTCATGCCAATGGCGTAATCTGATGCATCTGTTTCAATTGTGGTTTCCTTTTCTGGGTCGAACTGCACAAGTACTGGTGCAGATACAATTCTTTCCTTGGCTTGCTGAAATGCTTGCTGTTGCTCTGGTCCCCATTGGAACTCCTGTCCTTTTTTCAGCATCTTAAATAGTGGCGTCATGAATTGTGAATAATCCCTTAGGAATCGTCGATAATAGTTCACTAGTCCTGCAAATTGTTGGACTTCTTTGATACTCTTTAGTACCGGCCAATCCAAAATAGCTTGGACTTTGTTCTTTTCCATCTGAATTCCTTCTGTTGTGATCCAATGTCCCAAGAACTCGGTTTCTTGAACATGGAATTCGCACTTTTTCAGTTTCAATCGTAATTCAGCGTTTTCGAGTTTTTGCAGTGTTTTCTGAACATGCCGTATGTGTTCTTCGAAAGTGTTTGAGAAGATCAAGATGTCATCGAGATAGGCTATGACAAAGATATCAAGATACTCTCCGCATACCTCATTGATGAATCGTTGGAAAGATGCTGGTGCATTGGTGAGCCCGAATGGCATAACCAAATATTCATAATGCCCATATTTTGTTCTAAAGGCCGTCTTCCATTCTTCTCCTTTGGCAATTCGTAGTCGATTGTAGGCGTCTGTAACATCAAGCTTTGTGAACCATTTTGCTCCTCTGATGCGGTCTTGCATCTCGTCAATCCTTGGTAATGGATGTCGATCTTTGACTGTAATGGCATTAAGTGGTCGATAATCCACACATAGCCGTAGGCTTCCATCCTTTTTTGGAACAAATAAGACTCCGTGTCCTGCTGGTGAATTTGATGGTCTGATGGTGCCTTTCTTCAGTTGTTCATCAATGTATTCTCGTAGTGCCTTTGATTCTTTTTCTGACATTGAGTATATCTTCTTGCATGTTGGTTCCTTCCCTTCCATAAGGGGCATTCGATGATCGTGTGGTCCATGTGTTGGTAGTTCAGGTTGCTCTGGCTGGTTGAACAAGTGCTGAAACTTCTTGTACTCCCCTGGTACAGTCGGTTCTTGAGTCGTTGCTGCTAGCTCCTTAGGGTCAATCCATTCCCATGAGCCTAGCTCTGAGTCTGATGCTTCTTTGTAGCTATCAACTCTTCCTGAGCGATATTCCTCAATCGGCGCTGATATCTTGGATATATCCTTGTCCATCAAGTATTCGCAATACTTATGGGTCGTATCCGGTGCCCATCCCGGTAATTCTGCTAGCCAATGTCGTTCTGAGGCCCTGGTGGCTGCTAAAACAATGTTTCTTGCTGTGTCGTCTGTTTTGTTGTTATTCATTCTCAACCCACCTCTTGGTTGCTTCACGTATCTACCAGATCTCCTGTCTGTAGATTGTGGTGAGGTCCCGGCCTCCCGGTGGCTCGGTCCTTTGGTTCTTCTTGGGCATGCGCAGTTCGTAAAATTCATTTGTCCAGTTTTCCAGTTGATTTCTGGGTTGTGATTCCTGAGCCATGGAATCCCCAACACTATATCATATTGTCCCAGCAGTGTCACGTCGAAATTGATCCTCTCTTCATGATCCGCTACAGCCATAGGGACAAATCCTGACTCGACTGTCAGGTGACCTCCCAGGTCTTCACCATTCAGTCCTGAGATAGGCTCTGGCTGTGCCTTCTCAATCCCTAAAATTCCCAATTGTCGCTGGAATCTAGGATCCATGTAATTTCCAGTAGCTCCTGAGTCAACCATTACTCGGGCTAATTGACTGAGGATTGGTGTCATAAACTTTAAGTGATATCCTCGCTGTGTTGCTGATAGGCTTGCTTGCCATCTTGGTTGTCGTAGGCGTCGTGGACTTGGGTAGTAATCCTTGATTTCAAAATGAATTATGCAGTTGTCTTCATAGCAGGCAGTCCAGTGCATACTTGAATGCTCTGGATGCAG